TGATTGGTTAGGAGCCTCTTTATGACCTTGTGTGTCATACCGGTGCAAGCTTAGGTCATTATGGTGAATGACTGCCGATTGACATCTCGTTTATACAATGCTGGGAAGTCTGGTATGATTGACATCTCATTATCACAAAGAGACAATATCCAGGGAAGGGTCATTGAGTTAGTTTACATTTATGTAGTATCCCTATCATTAGGAAGGGGTACCTTCAGGGTGGGGGGATTATAGGCTAATTGCTCTGCACTTTGGGAGGTTTCAGATATGGGTAGGCTGGGAAGGATCAACTATAGATTCTTGCTTTCCCACGGGAATTGCATGTATAGTATTTCTCCATTTCATGGCCCTCACTTGTCCTAGAAGCTATACTTGGCACAGAATGCTACCACTTGCTTACTTGTGAGAATATACCTGCCAGTTTTGAAGCAATGATATTCAAGTGGTATACTTCGCACTGGGAAGGGTGGATTAAATGTTCTCTTTTGTCTCTTCCAACACTTCCACTCTATGATTCTGTGACACACATATTCCATCTGGCACTGCAATTCTCAAACTTTGCTCTTACCCTTCTCTCATGTATATTATTTAAATTAAATACATTATTAAAAAGAAACATGCAAATATTCAAACTATAGCTTAAAACAGTATTTCTTACACTTTTTGCTCTCAGGATTCCTTCCCACTTTTAAAAATTATGGAAGACCCCAAAAGAGCTTTTGTTTATATGGGTTATATTTACTGATATTTACTGTATTAAAAATTAAAACTGATACATTCATAGAATGTTTATTTACTGAATCATGTATAAATAACAATATTAAACCCATTAAATAAATAAAATACTTTTCATGAAAAAACCTTATTTTTGTCAGATTCAGCCGGCGCGGCATGGCTAGGGACTTGCCCAGCTGTGCTTAGTCAGTTTCACTGCCTGAGCGCCAGCAGAGGAAAAGGGGAAGTGAGAAACCGCGAACTGATTAATGGGCCAGCCAGTGCCGCTTAACTAAACCACAAGTGGATATTTTGTGTCAACAGCAATTTGCCTCGGGCGCTGCAAAGGGGAGAGCAGTGGCTCGGAGGCAAGCAATCAGTGCGTGATTGAGAACTCCCGGCTTTGTGCGCAACAGAAAGACCCAATGAAGACAACAACCACATCTTTGATAAAAAGCAATCAAGAACACAAAAGAACTGGACTGAATCTACCATTTGAGTGAAGGGGGGGATTACTGCGGGTAATCTGTAACCAAGCAACAGGGGCTAAGCGCGGGAACGGGGGGACTATAAATTGTGCT